AGGACGTGGAAAAAGCGACCCTTCTAGTTTTGCTGATACTCTTTTAAAAAGGGATAGACTATTCACTCGTCCTCATGACTTCCAATAAGGCAGCCGAGCTTCCACTAGGACAATTACTTGAAAAAGCTCTTTAATGTTCAATGTGAAGTGTTGGCCGAGAATACCAAGTGGTCTTTGGCCCATGGACCACTTAATTGGTAAGAGATCTCCGTCCGCTGCACCATTTTACCAATGAGAACGCATATTTGCCCAAATTTAATCTAATATAGCACCTAACTGCCATTGAAGGTGCAGCTGGGAATTGATTCATCCGATGGGGAGCCTTTTGAAGTACTTTGAAAAGCACGAACGCCTCGGTCACGCTTCGGTTCGGTGATGGAGCAGTGGCAAAAGGCGCTTGCAGTGTTCTTGTGACCAAACGGTGTTCAACCAACCGAAGTCAAAAGTCGATTATATTCGTAGTTGCAAGAGAGGGATAAAAGTTAGGCCTAGCATTGAATGGCCCCATGATGCCCCCACAAAAATGCCTTCAATTCTGGTATGGGTCCCACTTGAACTCCACAGCGCGGCCGAGTTGTCCCGCTGTCCGCGGTGCCTTGCTGTTATTGGCTGTCTCGTGCCGTTTGGGACCACGACAACTCCTGAGGGCCATAGTACCGTAGTCTTGTACCAGTGACGTATTCCTCCATACATCCGTGATCAATTAAGGGCCCCATTATTAGGCGATCAATTAGCGATTCCCGTTTGGGAGAGCAACCAACGGTTATCCCGAACGCTGCACGAATCTCTTTATGATTGGCCGGCAAAGGGACGACTGGTGGATGCGGTCAGCGCACGAACGTTTCTCCTTCGGAACGTAATCGAATTGCAATTATAAACTCACCCGTCCACTATTTAGGTTGAGAGATGACGAAAAACACTCAGGGCTGGTTCGTCCCTGGCTGGATAACGGAATTGCTGCGAATAGTAACGTGTTGAAGTAGGCTTGCCCACTTTTTTTTTCAACGACACGTAAAATCGATGCGATTTTGGGAAATGCCTATAACTTAAGGGATCGTACAGGACTTCATAAGTATAATTTAACTTCCTACTAGTCTTAGTTGTGTAAGGCTCTTAGATATGAACGTTTTCCTTCTCATAGTAGTGAGATACCCTACAAATTTGGTTTTTTTTTTTGAAAAAATTAGGCATCTTTGTGTAAAGTGAGTTCAAAAAAAAACATGTTTTACACCCACCATGAAGGACAAGAAGAACTGATCGATCTGTAGAGTCTCCTCCTTCTGGAAGGACATTTTCGTCTCAACCAACTTTGATTACTGCAATACACCTACACCCTCGTCAGTGGCAACAGAACTCCGACGATTTCGTTCACAAAAGCCCGATAGTTGTCCTTCTCTAAGGTCCCTTGATGGAATCAGCACAAAAGTTTCCTTGATAGAATAAAAGTATAGAGATACAGCCGTTTCGATCGTTTTTGATCAAGGCGTAGGTGGTGCTGTGGCAAATGGCGCGCACCCATTTGCGCATGGTCACAGGTTCGAACCCCATCTTGATATCCGCCTAGACCATCCGAGTCTACCATCCCTCCTGGGTCGGTTAATGGGTACCAGACTCGTCTTGAAGGATAAAAGCACTGATTCGTACATTGGCAGGAAACCGCAAGTCCAGTCCTATAGGCCACATAAGTATCCAATACGCCACTACGATTCTGAATGGAAGTCAAATGGGCGCATCCCCATACGGGTCCGTCATCCCCAAAGACTCTGTTCTTTATCCATTTGACCCTTTAGCAACTGGGCCTGTTAAACTACCATGGTTGTTTTCTTTGGCCTCACGCTTCAAGCTGTGGAAGCCGAATCAGGAAGTAAAAGCAGGACAGAACCTACCAGTAGTTTTACATTTTTGGAGCTGGTTAAGGTCCGAATTTGATCTGATATCGATATATTTTAGCCATCTGCTGTTTATTGTAACTGTCCAGTAAAGCAAGTTCATCGTCCATGCAACTCTGTCGACAAGAAACTCGCTAGAGGTATGTTTGCTTCGAAAAAAAAGTTATTTTATAAACTTTTATTTTATTTTTGGTGTGAAAGAAATGAAGTTAAGCATGTTTTTGGTAGAATGAAGAATAAAAAAACAGGTGATTGGAATTTAAGTTTCATATTTTCTGACTTTTTTTTAATTAAGATTATTTTATAAAAGGAATTATTTATTAATGCAATGGAAATTCCTCACACATGTTTCAGAATGTTTCCGAAACCTCTGTCTCGNATAAAGAATAAAAAAACAGGTGATTGGAATTTAAATTTCATATTTTCTGACTTTTTTTAATTAAGATTATTTTATAAAAGGAATTATTTATTAATGCAATGGAAATTCCTCACACATGTTTCAGAATGTTTCCGAAACCTCTGTCTCGAGATCATTTTCTTGTCGCAGTCTGAAAATTTTCTCGTCAAACGTTGTCCACTTCATTCAGTGTAATTAGGAACGTCGTAATGTCTCGACGAGCTTTGGGGTCACCCTTGTCATGCACTTTCTGAGAAAAGCAAAATTCCTTGAGAACATCCTGCTCTAGGGCTCCGACATTCTCCAGAAATTTTGGGTGACGATGAAAAAACTTGATTTGCAACCGAAAGGACGGCATTTGTTTGGATTTTTCTCGGAGCGGGTCACGTGGTCGAGAATTTTTGAAACAATTCTGGCTGAGTTCCTGCTCCATTGATGTCCGTGTTCGGGTTTTCCCATCACCGAAAAAATCCCGTGGTATCTCCCCCGCATAAAAATGAACTTACTAAGTCAAAGTGTGTTCCACTAGTTGAGTTCCTGGAAATAAAACCTCACATCTCAACCTGTACCTAATAAGATCCCTTTGCCATAAAAGGGAGGTATTCGATATTTCCAACAGCTTCCCAATACAGTTTATTCATTTCAGCGGCAATGGCACCCATGGCTTCATCTGTTACTACGGAATACATAGATGCACATTCAATTCGCCTTCAGATCCCACCACACCCAGAAGCATTCGCCTATATATTCGAATACGCAACAGTGAGCACAAGATCGGATGAGTGGTACTACGCGGTTCGTTCATTCTGTATTTTCTCACTACTCGAAAATCCAGTACGTCAAAAATGATCCTTATGACAAAGAAAAATGCTGACATACTGAAGAAAAAATTCTTCGATAGCCGATTACCGTAGCATTCACCATGGGTATAAACATAGGGTCCTGAAGGGATGAAGGATTCAAGAACTTGGACGTTGATCAATCTCGTTTGAGGTATGTGCACACTCCTGACTTGCGGTGGTCAGCCGATGTACAAGTTAGCGCTTTTGTCTTCCCAAACGAGCCTAGTGCCGATTAGCCGACTTCGGAGGCGTTGAAGGCTTGGTTTGCTTACGTAGATATCGAATTCGGGATTTGAACCCGTGACCATGCATGCGTGATAGTGCCACTACATCGCCTCCGCCCTGAACATAATTGATCATCATACATCTTGAAAAGATTTCCTAACTCTACCCTTTACGTAGCTATCAGCCTGTAATCACTTCAAGACTTATTCTCGATGATAACAAATGTTTATGAACAACAATATAATCTACAATCGCCAAAAATGTCTCTCGTATGCTAAGTTTCAGGGTTCATCAGCAAATCCGACGGTGACCTTCACGATCCTTGATCCCTGCAGGGATTACAAATTTAGGTGAGCGATTATCTTCTGACATTTCTACCTTCACACGATCTGCATGGCAGGGGATTTCGACCCACACTCCTTTCTCCTTCCCTTTGGTTTCTGAAAAAAATCGGATCCGACTCCAATCTCATTCAGGGCGATTGTCGTGCTTCGAAGTTCAGATCCCGTTGATCATTTTGTGATATATAACGAAAAGCCAATTCGTGTCGAACTTCCACCATTCGTCCTCGCTTCTGATCAGGTTTCCATTTTACATTCAAACTCGTTGATAAATACTTTTTTTAACAATTGTTGGTAAACTATCATGGGATCAGATATTTCTCATCACCTTC